TCACATTACAACTCCAACCCAAAATATTTTTATTTATTTATTGATTAGATGTAAAAGTTCGGCAGAAAGTAGAATAGTATTGTAAAATAGAGGGAACATTAAAATTTTATTTGGTAAATCCTTTTCAAACAAGAATCTGTTAAGTGTGTGGTCTAATCTCGCTATAAATCCAGCTATTGTACAAAGGCCTCAGAGAATCCCAGCAGCCTGGTTATGGGGAAATCTAAATAATCACAATATTCCAAGACTGATTGTTGGATATCCCGTCATGAAACACGGCGGTGGCATCATCATGCTGTGCAGACAATTTTCTTCATCAGGGAAATAGAGCAGGATGAAGTTGATGGGAAAATGGATCTAAATGCAGAAAATTTACAGAAGAAAAACCCGCTTAAAGCTGTGTTGCAGAGATTCACCTTGACAGGGCAAAAACCTCACCTACAGCCAGAGCTAAACTACAACAGTTTTCATCACAGCATTTCAGAACAACCTGGACATATGTTTATAGCAAATCTCTATCCCAATACAGAGAACCGCGATGGATTTGGAAAAACAATAAGAAAACCATAAAGCTTTTTTCTTCCTATAATGATCATGCAAACTCCTATTGAAGCAAAAAAAAAAAAAAAAAAAAAAAGCTGCAAAAATCTGATAAATACTAAAAGGATATGAATACTTAAAGTACTGTATATCCCTCACATTGATCTGTATGTTGTGCAGTTAACAACTCCTTCCCTTCTTCACATGTTGAAAAGCTATGCGAGGCTGCTGACACAGCATGTAGTCTAAGCAATTGGTAGGATTACACATTGCGGCCGCTCACAGACCAATCCTAGTGAAGGTTGAGACATCAGCTGACCACTGAAACAAATGAACCATCTAACAATGGTAACAAGGCTAGAAATAGTACAATCTGAGTATGAAAGCAGGGCACATGAGCATGAACAATTCTAGCCCTTAGCAACCATGATTAAGAGTGTTTGTGCTGAATAATGTGTGATTGTTTATAGAAATGGTCTGCTTGTGATTTTATGGTAAACTGAAGAGAAGCAAAAAATAGGGCATGCAATGTTTATAAAGTACTTCACTCAATGTTTTACATAAGAGCTATTTTTATGTGGATTTAGCAGGTGCCAAGAGCATTCATTCAGCTTGGGAAATACAAAGAGATGATTAGCATCAAAATGCATGTCCATGTGTGCCACAGCACCTGCAATCCAGATAAAGTCTGAACATGTAGCTTGAGGGATTGGTTAAAAGGTTTTAAGAGTATTGAGAGGATCCGATGTTGTTTGAGTGTTCTCTGATTATTTTTAGTGTGTTAAGAGAGGAATCAGATCCTGGATTGACCACAAAACTGGAGGAGAACATCAAAATTAATAACAGAGGAATAATATTAACAAAGATATCTTTCTGTTAATTGTTCTTCAAACTGAAGCCCAAATTACTTTTAACGAGATTTAGATTTAGACAACTTTTAAACTTTCGTTTAGTGCTGCTTTCAGACAGTGCAATGATTATTTCCATTCCATAAAGTGCTGCAGTGCTCAAATGTAAACAGTGTGGTAGAAAACAAGAAAACATGGTGCAAGAAAACGCATTGATGTGGAAGTTCAGAGAATTAATATATATGGTGCAAATATGCAGTATTTTTGGTTTGGTGTCATCAGTGTGATGCAGAGTTTGTGACATGATTTAGAATTAGCTGTCTGTTGGGGAAGAAGCTGTTGCAGAAGCTGCTGGTCCTGCATCGAATGCTGTAAAGCCTCTTCCCACAGGGCAGCAGGGAGAACAGCCCATGGTGGGGGTGTGAGGAGTCGCTGATGATGTTATGGGCTCGGGACACGCAGCGCTGGGATGACATGTCTTTTATGGAGGGAAGAGGAGCCCTGATGATCCTGGCTGCTGTTGGTGAGGATGGGTGGGGGCAGGTGGGCTCTCCTCAACCTCTGCAGGAAGTACAAGTGCTTCTGTGCCTTTTTGACCAGTGAGGAGACCTTTACAGTCCAGGTGAGGGTGCCTGTGATTTGCACCCTCAGGAATTTAGTACTACTGACCACCTCTACAGCTGAGCTGTTATTGAGCAGTGGAGCGTGGTTAGGCCGGTTCTTCCTGAAGTCAATGATGATGTTCTTCATCTTCTCCACGTTCAGGATCGAGCTGTTATCTCTGCACCAGTCCAGCAGCTGCTCCATCTCATCTCTGTAATCTCTGATGAGGCCCACCACCGCGATGTCATCTGCAAATTTCAGATGTGATTGGCGATGAACCTGGGGACGCAGTTGTGTGTCATTAGGGTGAAAAGCAGGGGGCTCAGGACGCAGCCCTGAGGGGAGCCTGTGCTTAGGATGATGACATTAGAGGTGTTCTGTCCAACCTGGACTGACTGAGGTCTATTGGTGAGGAAGTCTAGCAGCCCATTGCAGAGGGGTGTATTAAGGCCCAACTGTTCCAGTTTGCCTATCAGGTGCTGTGGGATGATGGTGTTGAAAGTTAAACTAAAGTCTAGGAACAGCATCGGTGAGTGTTCTTCTCCTCTATGTGTGTTAGGCTCAGAAGAAAAGCAGAGGAGATGGCGTCCTCAGTGGAGCGGTTCCGTTGTAGGCGAACTGGAATGGGTTGAATGTTAGCGGCAGACTGGAGATGTGTTCTTTAACCACCCTTTCAAAGCACTTCATCATGATAGGAGTCAGTGTGACAGGCCGATAGTCATTGAGTGAGGTGACCTGAGGCTTCCCTGGAACCGGAATGATGGAGGCAGACTTAAAGCATGCTGGCACTATGGACTGGTCCAGCGACATTTTTAAAATGTCTGGACACCAATGAGGACACCAGCCAGCTGACCTGTACACTCCTTGTACACCTGCCCATTTACATAGAGCTGCAACCAACGAGTATTTTGCAAACCGATTAATTTGTTGATTATTGTTTCCATTAATAATTGGATAGGCAAAGGTTCCTTAAAGAAGATTTTTTACTAAATTAAACCAGGTGAAAATAAAACTTCTCCACATAAGGAGTTCTAGATAGAGCATACTGACAGACGAAATTGTTCATTTCCTTAAATGCACTTAAATATATATATATATATATATATATATATATATATATATATATATATATATATATATATATATATATATATATATATATATATATATATATATATATATATATATATATATATATATATATCATTTTTTATAATTTTGATATTGTTACTGCTTTAAATAGGTTCTTCTATCAGCTCAGGGCATGTTTTAAAGTCTATACTCCAATAAACGACTTAATTAGTTGAGGGTTTTTTCAATAATCTATTAATCATAATTAATCCGATTAATTGTTTCAGCTCTAGATTTAAATAAATGTAATAATTTTAACAGATATATTTCTTATCATGATAAATGTATTGCAAAAAAAACAAAAAAAAACAAAATCAGAGGCATTTTTAAACAGTTTATAAGTATATTAGTGTTTTGGAAAATGGTTTATAAAACAAGAAAATATTAATTTTGCATTAAATCAGCTAACGATCCAAGAATCCACTTTATTACTCTGGTGTGATACCATCACGACCCAAATAGCGCGTCACGCAATGACGCAAAAACACCAAGCTGTGACATCATTGAGGTAAACACGCGCATATGACGTGGCCTTTCAGAACTCGCGATCTTGAGTAAGTGCGTAGTTTAATTATTCAGATCCAGGGCTTTGGGGATGTGCTTAAACATTATATACAACACGGACATTTTTTTCCCCTATTAAATATTCAATAGGATAGTCGCCATCCTTTTTCAATCTTTATTATCCACTGTATTATAAAGCTGCAAATTACTCTCAGCTGGATCATCAGCATCTTATGCTGCACATCTGTTATAATCAGCCACAGAAAAGGAAATAATTTCCCCATTTGAATTCAGAACACATTAATTTGCATAATACGATGGGGGTTTCTCTCTTACCAAAGGCTGTGTCTCTCCGTTGACAGGAGGCACTTGGAATCTGTCGATTTCTTCCATCATTTTGGCAAACTGTAACGGGACAATTTCGGTAATTTGAAGATAAACGGTCAGGCTGAACGTAAATACATCAAGTTATTGACGCTCAGTCCGTCGGGATCCTGCGTTTATCAGCATGATAGCGGTTCCTTTTCCCCCATCCCGCTTGACAGAGGTGACTCGACAGCAAAGCACCAGCGTTACCGCCCTACTTCCGGGGCATGGAATATTCATGGAATCCTGACCAATCAGAGAGGAGAACACCGGAAGTAGGCAGATAATTCATTTTAGTCGCTTATAATCTAAAATATTAAATTCACATAAAACAAAAATGTGTGATAATATCATATTTCACTTGTAATTTAAATGTAACACATATTTACTTATAATGACTTAAATAATCGGAGACCTGGCTTCATTCATCCATTCCAGACACGGCTATCGAGCTAGCAGGCCGCACAGGGGAGGAGGGCTGTGTATGTACGTGAACAACAGCTGGTGCACAAACACGTCCACCATCGATAGGCACTGTTTCGCTGTGACTCCAAACTTTTTACAATTTCTCTCAATGGTTTGAAACAAGGACCTCGCGGTAATGTCCATGTATAAAAGGAAAAAGGCTGCTCGTGGCGGAAAGGTAATTGTTGCCAAATTTTATCTAGCTCTCAACTAAAATAACAACGGCTGCTCGTTAACTTTATAGTTGCACTTATGAGAAAGTAAAAAGGACCACATTTTATTTTTTTTAATGAGAATTAATTTTAATGAGAATAAAAAATAAATTATTCTGAGATTGACTTGTAAATATATTCATACTCCAGAAATTTACAACTTTTGTTACCCCTCAAACACCAGACTTGATTTAAACTTTTTTTTTTCAGGTCCTAACCTGCTAACATGAAACAATTTTGTTAAATGAA